ACTGGCTCAGGCTTTAATCCCAGCATTCTGGAGGAAGACGTAGATGAATCTCTGGGTTCAAGGCCAGCCTAGCCTATAGAGAGAGTTCCAGGACAGCCAGGGCTACACAGAGAAACCCCAAATTGAAAAATCAAAACTAAATACATATTTGAAAAACAAAACAAAACAAAAACAAAAACAAACACCAAGAGTTGGAGTGGGGACTGGCTTATGAGGTAAGGCAGCTACCCAGCCTCACACTGGGAATTGGATTCCCAGAACCAACATAATGGAAGGAAAGCATCGACTCTGGCAAGTTGTTCAAGTTGCCCTCTGACCTCCTTATACTCACCTGGGTGCCCAGAAACACACAAAAATCAAAACAAACAAACAAAAAAAAATTTAGAACAAAACAAAAGTCAAGGGGCTGGAGAGATGGCTCAGAGGTTAAGAGCACTGACTGCTCTTCCTAAAGGTCCTGAGTTCAATTCCCAGTAACCACAATGGTGGCTCACAACCATCTATAATAAGATCTGGTGCCCTCTTCTGGCATGCAGGTGTACATGCAGATAGAACAATGTATACATTAAAAAAAAAAAAAAAGGCAAGCATGAAATCCCAACAGGCAGGCAGGCCACTAGTTTAAGGCCCGAGTCTCAGATACAAAGAAAGTTTGAGGCTGACCTTGGCCACTTGAGACAGTGTCTCAATAAGCCAGAAACAGGGTGTGGTGGAGCAAGCCTGTAATCCTAGAGACAGGAAGTCCAAGGTCATCCTTGTCTGTGTAGCAAGGACTATCTGAAAGGGAAAGGAGAGAGAATCAGAAGACAATTAGATTAAAAAAAAAAAAAAAAAAGCCTTTGCTGCTGCCCATCCCAGTAGGAATAACAAATTTGGGATGACTCCGTACGGAGCTGACAGCCTAGAGCTGCCCCTGCCCCCACTCTCTCTCTCTCTCTCTCTAAACACTTATGTCAGTAGGAACCAAACTCTGGCGCATCTGCGCATTGTAGAACATGTCTGTCTGTCTGTCTGTCTTTTTGTTGTTGTAGTTTATGAAGACAGGGTTTCTCTGTATAGCCTTGGCTGTCCTGGGCTCACTTTGTAGACCAGACTGACCTCGAACTCACAGAGGTCTACCTGCTTCTGCCTCTCGGAGTGCTGAGATTACAGGCATGCACCACCATGCCCAACTTTTTAAAAAATGATTTATTTATTTTTATTTTATGTGCATTGGTATTTTGCTTCCCGTATGTCTGTGTGAGGGTGTGGTGGAAGTTTTGGTTTATGATATGTAGATGTATTTTTGTTTTCAATCCCAGGTGTGGGATATGGGACTGATTTAGATTGTCCACAGCAGCAAACTATTTGCCTCATGTGGGCTGTGAGAGGGGCTCTTTGCCAGCTGCAGACAGTTTAGTCTGAGAAATCTGAAAGGGAATAAAAGCCTGAGGAGAGAGACAGAGAGAGAGAGAGAGAGAGAGAAAGAGAAAGAGAAAGAAAGAAAGAAAGAGAAAGAAAGGAAGAAAGAAAGGAAGAGAAAGAAAGGGGGCTCTAAGGAAGAATGCTGCCGGTGTTCCCCCCTGCTGCTCCTGGCTACTGTTGATGCAATTTGATGAGAAATTGGAGATATCCTGAAACTAGGATTGGACTTTCCGAAAGGAACCTGACCACCCTAAGCAGCAGGAAGTAGCTAAAGAGAACTCTGTCCCCTCTCCCCACTAACTTTTTTTCTCTCCTACCTGGTGTTGGGGTGTTGGAAGGGACTGGGGTGGAGAAAGAGGCATTAAGAAACGTAAATAATATAGTTTTAAAAAGTAACGCCAACATGAGGATGTTGGATCCTCCGGTGCTGGAATTTCAGTTGCGAGTTGCCATGTGGTTGACTGGGAATCAAACCTGGGTCCGTCTGGAAGAGCAGCCAGTGTTCTTAACCACTGAGCCATCTCTCCAGCCCTTGTAGAATATTTCTTAAGGGCTGCTATCTCATGGACCCCCACTGAATACATGGGATCAGTCTTGCAGCCCTCCAAGTTCAACCTTCAACTCCCACTCACTCTGAGGCCCATCTCTCTTGGGTCTTCACTGACTCAGGCTCCCCTGTCTTCCCCTACCTTGGGGTCTTGAAGCCCTGAGTAGTATCAATATGTTCTACTCTTTCCTTCTACTTCCCCATTTCCCAAGATAATTCTGGTTTCTCTGACCCTAACACTGCCCGATCATCTATTCCTTTCCTTGGGCCTACTTATGTTTTTATGTCTAGATCAACCAGTTGGCCAGTCTGGCTTATGGAGAAATGGGGATAAAGCCCTTGTTACTAGGGACCCGTTAGATGCACCCAGTGATGAGGTCACAAAATTACAGGTGACCATGGTGTCAGCCTTCAAGACAAGCCTCCTATTTGTTCATCTTCAGTTAGGAAGCTGAACAAATAACTTGGTATCCAGAACATCAAAGAAGAATGCCTGGAAAGAATACTGGAAGGGAAGAGGCAGGGCCAGGCTTGAAGAAGGTAGATGCCTGTCAGGACTCTGGTTTGTACACTGAATATTAAAGTAGCGGGTGGAACTCCAGCAAATTTGTTTAACTCTCTGGGTGAGTAAGGTATGGTGGTACACACCATTAAATTCCAGAACTCAGGAGGCAGAGGTAGACAGATCTCTGTGAATTTGTGGCCAGCCTGGTGTACATCGTGAGTTCCAGGGCAATCAGAGCTATGTAGAGAGACCCTATTTCAAACAAACAAGCAACAAGATTAGATGTAAGGAGACAGAACTACCAACTGAAAGCCATTGTAATAGTCCCGGTGACACATGGACGAAGCCATGCCAAAGCAGATGTGTGTTAGTTTTCTATTCCTGTGATAAGACACCAGGACCAATGTATGAATGAAAGCATTTACTTTGGGGCTCATAGTTTCATAGGGTTCAAGTCCATGACCCTCACAGTGGGGAGTACGGCAGCAGGCAGGCATGGCACTGGAGCAGTAGCTAAGAGCTTGCATCCTGAGCCACAAGCTCCTGGTCAATGCTTTGAGGGCCCTCTCTCTTACTCTACCATTTGTATTCACGCCTCTGGCAGTTCCAGAGTCTTGAAATGCATCTTGGGATCATTTGCATTGTTCTCACTGGAGGAAGTAAAGGGGAATATAACCAAGTATCCAGCCTGTAAAAGTGCACAAAAGTTTGCCAGGTGGTGGCGCACACCTTTGATCCCAGCACCCAGGAAGCAGAGGATATCTGTGAGTTTGAGGCCAGCCTGGTCTACACAAAAAAACCCTGTCTCAAACAAAACAACACAAAAACAAAAAGAAACAAAGGGGAAAATTCACATCTAAGTCTGCCTACTACCCTCACAGGAAGCCACATACATGGAAACCTACTAAGGGTAGCTCTGAGTAATTTCCTCAACTCATACAACTCTAAGGAAAGAGTTGGCCCCCTTTCTTTATGTTCCCTAGGGCTACCAAGTACAAGTCCTTCTTTTCCAGGCACCAGAGGAGGCCCAAGCCAAATCCCAAAGACTTGAAAAAAATATAACAACAGGATTATGAGCAGGGAGCAGCTTCCCATGGAGAAGACATGATGGGCCCAGCTCAAGACTAAGAGGAGGAGCCTTTGCCAGACTAGGAAAGGAAAAACAGCTTCAAGTCCAGTAGCTTGACTCTAGGTGTTGGCAGATAGCCTGGCTGTAAGGTCAGGACATGAACCTCAAAGCCTTGGATGAGACCAAAGTGTAATCCTGAGACTGTACCGAGGTTAAGAAAGTATCTGCAAGCAGGCCATGCACATGAACTAGCTGCCTTGGGATCTCCATGAGACTGAGGAACTAATGCCAACCAACTGTGGGCTGGACTCAGCTCTGAGGAACTGAGAGGCTGAGCAACTGTCCCTAGACCATTATGAGCCTAAGTCTAATTTTGGCCTAGAGTGAGGCAGAGTAGGATCAAAGCCGCAGGTTCTTTCTGAGGACAGAATTGAGTGACAGTTCTTACCCACTTAGTTGCCACCTGGGATGAGGAGTGACAGCACCAGGGTCCTAACCTAAGCCACAAGCAGGCAGAGAGGCCACAGCCTCTTTCTCAGGATCCTGTTAATGGATCCAGAAACACAAGAACTTGGCTGCCACAGCTATTTCTTGGCTTAGGGAGTCAGGAGAAGTATGAGACCTCCCCAGAGCTTTGTCCCCAGTCCTGCAATGACTCCTCACTAGTCTGGGGCTCTGCAGGCAGCTCTCCTGTCTGTAGAAACCAGAGGCTGCTCAAGAAACCCGGGGGAGTAGGCATGGGCTCAGGGCCCAGCACACTTCCTACTCAGGGGCAGAAGAGACTCTGGAAAAGCAAGCTGGAGCTCCATGGAATTCTCTCCCTGCAGTTCTGGAGAAGCCAGACGTGGGTGAAGAGCACGTACAGACAGGCCCAGACAGGCAGGTGCTGCTGGGCTGTGAATGGTGAAGCCTCTGTTTTAGTTGGCATACTTGGCCAAGCTATTTAATCTTCCTAGACAGCTATTTCTTCCATCGAGAAAATGGAGATACAGTAATGCTTTCCCAGTGGGTTTATAAGAAACATTGGACAAGGGATTTTTTTTTTTTCTTTTTTGAGACAGGGTTTCTCTGGGTAGCCTTGGCTGTCCTGGACTTGCTTTGTAGACCAGACTGGCCTTGAACTCACAGAGATCCACCTGCCTCTGCCTCCCTGAATGCTGGGATTACAGACGTGCACCACCATGCCTGGCTAAAAAAAATTCTTTTTAATATTTACTTATTAGTTGTATATGCCATTCATTCTGCCCACATTCCATGAAGAAGGCACCAGGTGTCATTATAGATGGTTATGAGCCATCTCTCCAGGGACGAGGGATTTTATTAAGATCAGCAGGTTTCCTAGTATGTAGGAAACCGGTCATGACTGTTGTTTTCATGAGCAGAAGTGGCTGCTTTATGCAAGAGATCCAGATTCAATCATCCTCTCTACAAGCTACAACCCTTAACTGTTCAAAAAGAACACAAAAGCCTGTGAATGAATTTGTATTTACATATGTATTAAACATTGTCCACAACAGACAGTATTGCACGCCCAACTCCACCTTGGTGCTCTCCAACCCTAGGACCTTCCCCATCTCTGTGCTCTACAAATGAACTCCCATGTCAGTTGCACAGGGGCCCCTGTCCAGATGGCACCCAGGCTTCCTGTCCTGGGTGGTCTGATGCCTGCAGAGTAGTAATAGGTTCCCGAGGAAGGGTTGGGGGTGGAGTGCCTGGATCCCACAGGATGTCCTCATATGTGCTTTGAACTGGACCAGAGGGCCGTTCTTGAGCCCCAGTCTGTTCAAGCAGGGCTCTGACCAAGCCCACTGTGAGAGGGGGCTCTGCCCCGGGCTCGGGGAAAGGGGAGGAGGTTCCCACGTCATCTGGGAGATGTGTCCTCAGAAGAAGCAGGAGCTCGTCTGGAGCCACTTCTGGTGGGCACAGGCGGCAAAGGAGGGGGAGGTGAGCATCAAGGCGGCGGTGCTGGGCGAACTCTGCCAGCAGCAGCTTAAAGATCTCACTTCGAAGTAGGGGGCTGGAGGAGTCCAGGGCCAGCCCGGCCTCCAGAGCCCGTTCCCACAGTTCCTTCCTTATGAGCTGCCTCACAGCTTGCAGCACAGCTTTGGGCCGCCCACTGCCCAGTAGCAGCTCGACTTCTAGGTCCTCAGGTCTCTTCCCCTCCTCACCTAGCACCGCCAGGGCTCGGCGATAAAGGGGCAGACTGGGGCTTTCAGCCCCCCAGCCTGGCCCACCCTGTTGCTGGGCCAGCTCCACAAATGAGGGGAGCCACTGAGGCTCCAGCTGGCATAGGCACCGGCACAGGAGTTCAAAGGGGGGCAGCATTCCACCAGGGTGCTCCTTTCCAGCTGCTGGACCCCTTAGTACCTTCTTCCATATGTCGGGCGGTGCCTGGGACCTCAGCTTGCCAGTCCTGTCTGGCTGGAGCTGCAGGGCCTGGAGGGTGGCACTCCAAGCTGCTGTAGGAAGGGCCTGGAAAATGGTGTTGAATTGGACCAGCTGGTCTCCGGTCAGCTGGGTTCTCAACAGCCGTGCCACCTCCTGCTCTGCTAACTCGGTCCAGCCAGCCTCCTCATCGTCCCCAGCCACCAGCTGGGCCTTGAGCTGCTCCAAGCTCCGGTAATCCCGAAGCTCAGCCCTCAGCATAGTCAACAGTGCAGATGGGGGCAGGTGGCCCTGGAGGATGGAGGCCAAGGCCTGAGGTGCCCGAAACATGCTGTTGTGTCTCAGTTCTTCCGGGGTCAGTTGGGTACCTCGCAGGCTGCGGCGCTGGTAGTACTCACAGGCCTCCTCAAAGACCAGATCCTTGTCTGAGGGCAGCTCAAGGCCTTGGGGCCGTTCCCAACCCACACAAAAGAGCCCCAAGGCTGAAAGCAAACGGAGAGCTCCTCGGGTCTCCAACTCTTCCTCATTCTTCACACCAGGCGCTGGAGGCTCCAGCAGATGTACTCTGTCTGTACTTAGGACCTTCCTCTCCAACAGCTGACCACTGCTCATGTCCAGTAGTTCCAAGGTGGAGCCCCGCACACAGGCTAAAGTGCCATGAAAGGTTCCCAGGGCCGCAGACCCCTCTAGGCCTACAGGCGCTTCCTGAAGGGTTCCCACAGTCCGAGTGCCACCATGGCCCTGCACTAGGCTCACCTTACCTTTCAAGTCAAGCAACAGCAAGCCCTGGGGAGACGGGGCCCAAGTGTGCACAGCCAACGGCTCCCTGGGGGACAGGAACCCAGGAAGTCCTCGAAGCAGGGTCCGAAAGTCCCAGGTATCCCCTTGTCTGGGATTCAGGCTTTTACTGTGCGAAAGACCAAGAGATGGCGCAGCAACTATCACCTTGCCCTTGCTTGGGCTCCAGATGAGCAGAACATGGGCCACACCAGGCCAGGTGGTGGTAGTGGGCACCAGGAAGAGGTCCCTGCGCGAGGCTATCAGTCCAAAAGAGGGGCAGTGGTGCAGCAGGATGTACGTGCAGCCTAGTTTGGTGCCAGCCTCCCCGCTGGTCTCCAGGGTCTTGGCGCACACACAGTGGCTGAAAGCCATAGAAGGCTTCCCTGGCTGGTCCTCATCGCCAAGCTGACGCTCCTCGCACCAAACCAGGCGGCCTCGGGTTACTGCCACGGCCGTCACGCGGGCCTCAGCATGCGGACACAGCTCAGTGCTCTGAAGTATCCTCCAGCCAGGCTCCATCCCGGCGCCCCACACCTCCGCTAGGCCACTTTCCCATACCAGAATCAGCGCGGGTCTCGCCAGCCATGGCACGAAGAAGGCGTCCAGCGGCGAGGGGTGGCCCTCCGGCCAGGCACGCTCCAGCGCCAGGCCCGGCCCACGCGCAGCCACGACAAGTTGCGGGGCGGGCGACCCCGGGGGTCTTAGCAGCAGCAGGTGGCGGCCGTCAGGGCTGCAGCGGACTAGGACAGCTGGGTCCCCAGCCAACAACTCGCGGAGTCGGGCCCCGCCGGTGAAGTTGCTCAAATCCGAAAGCAGGCGTAGAGTTCCTGCTCGCTTCATGACGCCCCTGGCGCGGGAGCTCGCCAAGGCCCGACCGCCCGGTGGGGCGAGGCGAGGCCGCTGGTCCGCAGTGCCGGAGGGAGTGTAGGGCTGACACTTCCGTCCCTGGTGGATGAGGTGAACCAACCCCGGCCTGATCGCCGACTCCGCCCGGCCCCCGCCCGCCAGCCTAGGTCCGGGATTGCTCCGGGGCACGCCCCGCTCTAGCCGCACGTCGGGGGAGGAGCTGCGGGAAGACCGCCGGGGGAGGAGCCTCGCAGCACCCTAGGGTCTCCGCCCTCGGACTGACGTTCCTAGGCACGGTGAGGATCTCTCAAAGCGTCCAGTCTTTTTAAACTTCGCTCTTTACCTGATTTGTTCATCAAGGTTGAGTACAGACACTGTATCATCCCCGAGGGAAAGGGCAAACCTCAACCTCCTGGAAATGTGGAACTCTGTAAGGTTAATGCTCCGCTCATTGCATAGACCAGACTGGCCATGCGCTCACAGAGATTGGCCTGTCCCTGCCTCTCAAGTGAGTTCACCACCACACTCCTGGTCTTTATACATATTTTAAATTTTTAAGTTAGCACACAAAGTAATGAATTTCATTATAGCATCTCCTCCCTTTATATGCTTACTCCTGTGGGGCACCTGTGGAGGCGAGAGGTCAGCCACAGTGTCTTTCCTCAGATGTCATCTGTCCACATCATCCTGAGACAATTTCTTTCACTAGCACCTCTCACCCATCAGGTTGTGCTAGCCAGCCAATGAGCTCCAGGGATCCTCCTGCCTCTGCCTCTGCCTCCCACATTAGGATTACAGGCTCAAACCAGGATGCCAAGTGCTGGTATAGCCAATACCAACTGCTGGATTAACACCCCCCCCCCTTGCCTCCGCTTCCCAAATGCTGGTATTATAAACTGTTGCTCCCATCTGTGCATGAAATGTCATGCCCTGTTAATCTGATAGGATTTATATGTAAGGTTCCGTGCTTTTTTGGGGTGTGTGTGTGTCATCCTTTAAGATAGGATTCAGTTTTATGTTGGGGGTTGGGAGAGGTGATTCAGCCATCAAGAGCACTTTCTGTTCTAGGGGGCCCCAAGTTTGGTCCCCAGTACCCACATCAGGCAACTCACAACTGCCTGCAACTCCAGCCACAGGAAATTAGACACTCTCTTTAGGCTTCTACAGGCAGCTAGCCACACAGCATACAACACACACCAAAATAGAAATGTGTATGTAAGTGTGTGTAAAGGAATTTTATTACAGCAACATGGCTACTCTGGCAAGGGATAAAATGTAAAGACCTGGGCCTATGTGATCTGGCTGGAATATATAGCCTTAATCCCTCTGGCTAGAATATACACTTGACACACCTTTAATACCTGTGGCTGGAATTTAATACACACCCTTAATCCTAAACAATGATGCCCAATTGAGGGGCAGACAAAGTGATGAATCAGGGAAAGATCTGACAGAATGAGTCAGAGGTAAGATATGCCCAACTCTCATAAGAACAGACAGGAAAGAGAATGTTGACTAAATGTAGGGTTTTCTCTATTACCCCTTCTGGCTCCCAAACAATGACACAGAGACCTATTAGATTTATTAATAAGCTTTAAAACACCTCAGCCAGGCAGATACTGATCTACTCTAGCCTGTCTATACTAGCCTGGCTCCTTCTGAGCCATGTACTCTGTGTTACTTGTCATTGTAGTTTTGCCTTGGCTGCTCCTGCTCCATCTTTGTACTCATGGCAAAGGCCTCATGGTGACCTCCTCCTTTCCTCTCTCTTCTTCAGTCTCCTACCTGAGACCCCATCCTCACTCAGATGGAAGCCCTGGCTCCTGTCCTCTTTTGCCCATATATAGGCGGATCAGCTTCTTTATCAACCAATCAGAGATGATGGAGAACAACTTTTTATACAGCATTGAGGTTCTTCATAGAAATGACAATGCCCACATCACATTGCAACCAGATTTGGGGGCACAGAATTCAGCATCTAAATACAGGGTGCACAAACCATCCCCCAAACAAGAGAAGCTATTTAAGAGCAGCCCAGAGAGGGTAGGGTAGAGTACAGGAACAGTGCAGTTTGATGCAGTTTGGTGCAGTTCAGTTGAGTGCAGCTGAGAGCTCAGTTCATGCAGTTCAGAGGAAGAAAATTTCAGTAAGAAGTGGAGAGAAGCCCATTTAAATCAGTAGCTTAGTGAGAACTTTTGAGCCAGAACAGCTAAGGTGCATCAGCCAGCCATCGTTCAGAAAGAATTAGAAAGGGTGATCTTATTCAGCAGTAAGTCTTGGAGGCTAAAAACATTCTAGACCTAGGTTAGTAGACAGAGGCTGGAATCTGAAGCCTTCAAGGTCTGGGCTCGCAGAAGATTAGATTGTGTGGAGACTAGATGCTTTCAGGCCCAGGCTGAGGGATAGTTAGATAGAAACTCTCTGGGCTCAGCCCAAGCCATGTGTTCGTAAGGCTTGGGTACAGCTCTCATCTTATGCCCTCGTCTGAGGAAATAAAAACTACATTTATGGGCTAGAGAGACGGCTCAGAGGTTAAGAGCACTGGCTGCTCTTCCAAAGGTCCTGAGTTCAATTCCCAGCAACCACGTGGTGGCTCACAAGCATCTACAATGAGATCTGGTGGCCTCTTCTGGTATGCAGGCACACATGCAGGCAGAAAACTATATACATAATAAATAAATAAATCTTAAAAAAAACCCTACATTTACGTGTGTGTGTGTGTGTGTGTGTGTGTGTGTGTGTGTGTGTAAGCCATATATATGTAGTTGCTCAATGAGGCCAGAAGAGGACAGCACATCCCCTGCAGCTGGGATTACAGGTGGATGTCAGACATGTGATAAGGGCAGCTGAAAATGGATTTCAGGTCCTCCGGAACTCAGCAGCAAGTGCTGTTAACTACTGAGACATCTCTCTAGCCTTGGTTTTTGTTTTGTTTTAAAAAGTTTATTTTTGGGGCTGGAGAGATGGCTCAGTGGTTACAGACCAGCCAAGGCTACATAGTGAAAGTGTGTTTCAAAAAAAAAAAAAAATTGCAACAAACATTTCACAACATAAATTTTTCCAATCTCTGCCAGTGTTTTTCAGAGGATGCATTTTTTTTTCTAGAAAGAACTGCTGAGTTCAGAACCTTCCCTATTTCCAAAACAAAAACAAAAAACCTGCTAAAGCTCATTTAAAGTCAGTGGCCTTAGGAGAAAGTCTATTTGGTTCGCGATGTCTTTTGGGAGTTGTAGTCTTTGCGATGCTTGCTGGGAATCGTGGTCTGAGCTGCTTCAGGAAGCGGGCGTGGACGAACCTGAGGCGAGGAGGATTTTAGGACCTGGCGGTGCGCGGCGGACTAGGGAAAAGGGTCGGGAAGGTCGGGAGCGCGCCCGTGATTCCCGAGCAGTGGCGGCGTCGCCGGAGTCGGGAGCGAGCAGGTCTGCGAGCGGCTAGGGTGCTGGAAGAGGGGCCGGGGGCTCGGTAAGCGGCGCGGGCCCGACCGGGTCCCCAAGGGTCCGCCCTGCTAGGCCTGGAGCGGAGGCGGCCCTGGAGGCGGGGCCTGCGTCAGCCGCGGGGACTCGGGGGTGACAGGGCGGAGGGAGGGCTGCGGCAGCCGGGGCTGCTTGCGGCGGGAGGGTCGGGCCTGGGACCGCAGAGTGCTCCCGGCTGCTTCCGGACGCCCGCTAGCGGCCTGGTCCTGCCCCTCAGAGGTCCCGCCGGGGCCTCGGGCGGGCGAGGCGCTGACCTTTGACCCCGGCGCGGGGCTGACCCCGACCCGGTCCGCTCGTGGCGGAATGCTGAGCCAGTCCTTGCAAAGTGCTGAGCATGTCCGGGAAGGGCCGGGTCCTGCGCTCTTCGATCTTGAGCACCCACTTTTCGCAGAGTTGACAACCCACTGCGCTTTCACGGGACGAGGGGGTGCAAGCCGGGAAACCCGCCGCTTCCCTGGCGGGCGTGGCGAGGAAGAGGGCAGCCATTGGGGAAATGGAAGAGTGCTGTCCCTGGCGAATGGGACAGTGAATGCTTCGAGCCATGTCCTAATAAAATGTTCCTGGACTGTCGGAACCTCCCCAACTCTTCTTTCCAGTAAAAGTTTTAAACTTAAGTGCATTTTTCTTGTAAAATAGGGCAAGCATGGTGTGTAAACATGGTTTGTGTTAGATCCACCTCTAGCCCTGCCTCCCCTGGCCAGTTCAGAACTAGCTAGGTAGCTCGGGCTAACCTCGAACTTGTACTGATCCTCTGGCTCTCCCTCCAAAAGGCTGTGATTTCATTGTACCCCGCTACGCTAGGCTTGTCTCCTGCACTTGAATTAGCCCTGAGTTACTTGGAATTATCTCTGGTATATTACGACATGGTCATTTCCATGTGAAAGCTTTCAGGATATCACATTTAACAAGGGGTTTGATAACTCCTGTTAGGACTGTAAAGGGAGTTTTCATTTTTTTCTTAATCAGCAAGCCCCTTTAGTGTGTGCTTATTTATGACAGTCATTGTACCTTGTCATGTTTAATATAATCTTAGCACTTAGGAGGTTTAAACGGGAGGACTGTTGAGAATTTGAGGCCAGTCTGAGATGCACATTGAGTTCAAGGCAAGCCTTAGTCCCCCAAAACACCAAAAATGAAAACAAACGCTAGAAAACAACCCAGAGACCCAGTGTTTGGGATGGAGAGATGGCTCGGAGGTTAAGAGCACTTACTGCTCTTTCAGAAGACCCAAATGTGGTTTCTTGCTCCCATGATGCTTCCCAGCTCCCACAATTGGTCATGGCTCAAAGGCACCTGTAACTGGCTTCTGAGGGCAGCTGCACTCTTGAACACAGAGACACACACACATTCATTAAAAAATAACAGCAAAGGGGTGGAGAGATGGTTCAGCAGTTAAGAGAGTGGTCTGCTCTTCCAGAGGTCCTGAGATCAATTCCCAGCAACCGCATGGTGGCTCACAACTATCTACACTGGGGTTTGATGCCCTTTTCTGACATGCAAGTGTACATTCAGAAAGAGCACTCATATTCATAAAATAAGTAATAAAATCTTAAAACAACAAAACCAATCCAGAATTTGGGGTTTCACACAGCAGTTTAGGAATCCATAAAATTTGGAAAGTATGACCAGATAACAAGTTGATACAGCATACACTACTGAGCCCTGACTTAAACCCACACTTAGCCTAGACTCGTTTTTAAAGAACACCAGTCAGAGAGACGTACTTGGACAAGTTCTCTAGGTGTGTGGATGTGTTACGTGTCTGTGTAAAGGCATTTGTACAGGATGAAGGGAAGACTGCCATTGCTCCAGAAAGTCAGGAGATCTTTGTAGGGAAGATATATTTGGGCTATGTGTTGAAGGTTAAGTAGGAGCTTGCACAATAAGGCTTTTGAGCTGGAGAGAACAGCCTTTGCAGAGGCATGGTGCAAAGTGAAGGGGGAAAGCAACAACATGCTGTTTATGTGGGATCAGAAAGCCACCCAAAAAAAAAGATGTATGTTGGGCAATTGTCTGGAGGTGAGGTTGAAAAGAGGGCAGGGAAGCCACTGGGGAAAATTTTTTTAAATATTTATTTATTATTTATTTATACAGTATTTTGTGTGCATGCCAGAAGAGGGCACCAGATCTCATTATAGATGATTATGAGCCACCATGTGGTTGCTGGGAATTGAACTCAGGATGTTTGGAAGAACAGCCAGTGCTCTTAACTGCTGAGCCATTTCTCCAGCCCAGCCACTGAAATTTTTAAAAAACCTAATTTATTATTTCATGTGTATGTATGCTGCTTTTTGTCTGTGTACCTCATGTGTGCCTGGTGTCTACATAGGCCAGAAGAGGGCATCAGATCTCCTGTACATCCCCTGTAGGAGCTGCAGATGGCTGTGAGCTGCCATGTCGGTACTAGGAGTTGAGCCATTGTCCTCTGCAAGAGGACCTTTTATTTAACTAATCAATTTTATTTTTACAGACAGGGTTTTTCTGTGTAGCCCTGGCTGTCCTGGAACTCAGTCTGTAGATCAAGGCTGGCTTCAACCTTACAAAGATATACCTGCCTCTGCTTTTGCCTCTGCTTTCTGAGTGCTGGGATTGATGTTGTGTACCACCATTGCCCAGCTGGGTACTCAGTATTCTTAACAGCTGCGCCCTGACAATTTTTTAGAGAGTGACTGGGTGAAGATTAAAAAAATAGATAGTGAGAGGCAAGACTAGAGTTGTTACAGTTGAGTAAGAATTAGAATAACTTGGCTGTGGTAAGGACAAGAACAGAATGAATTTTAGAAATAGTTCTGAGATAGCTGAAATATGACTAGGAAGAGAGTGGACTAAGGTTTCAGGAATGGGCTGAATGAGACCTCATTTAGGATATGGATATGACTAGAAGTCTGTATTTTAGAATACAGAAAAAGAACATTTTTTTTCCTGTTCTGTTATTCAAACTCAAGGCTTTGTTTATAATGGGCAAATGCTTTACCACTATTTTCCTGAACAGAGCAGACTTTTAAAGGTTATGTGGTTATGGAAAAAAATTAGTTGTGACTGCTGTATTGAGGTCAAGTTGGCTTATGTGACATACAGGGTGGTAGGTGTCAGTAGGTAGCTGCAACTAAGGAGTTTGGTGAGCTAAAGAAGGTGGCAGTAGCTGTGAGTGAAGCAGGCATATGTGGGAAGAATATTGATGGGAAAATATTAAGAACAATATGTGTAGCTCTTTTTTTTTTTTTTGAGATAGGGTCTCCAGTCTTAGTGGCCTGGAACTCACTATGTAGACTAGGCAAGTCTCAAACGCACAGAGATCCTCCTGCTTCTACCTTCTAAGTGGCACAGGTTTAAAAGTGTGCCTAGTTTCCTTTTTTTTTTTTAACCTAATAGTGGGCTCTCAAGGCAGAGATCATCTTTTTGTAATGTTTTGTTATCTTTTGTCTTATACTGTGCTTCTGTTAGTATAAAGTCTATCTGTTTTTTGTTTGTTTTGTTTTTTTGAATACCCATTCTTTAATGCTTTATTTTAATTTTTTCTCTTCTCTGTGTGTATATATTGTATAGTACACATGTATGTGGATATGCATATGTGTTTAAACATATACAGACTATATATTGGTTACTTTTTCCTTTATGTTGGTAAGATACGTGACAAAATCAACCTAAAGAGAGAAGGACTTATTTGGGTTTGCAGTTTAAAGGCACAGGCCATTATACTGGGGAAGGCATGCTGGCAGGAGCGGCTCAGCTGTGGAAGCTGAAGCATGAAGGAGATGGTTATATGGTGTCCACAGTCAGGAAGCAGAGAGGGATGAACACCAGAGCTGCATTCACTTTTTCCTTCTGAGTTAGATCAAGATCCCAGACCATGAAATGGAGCTGCTCTTCCAGGATAGGTCTTCCTTCTCCAATGAAGCTTTTCTAGCAAATCCCTTCCAGACATTGTCTCCTAGGCGATTCTAAGCACTGTAGGTAAGGAAGGGCAATCCCTGTAAAGACCCCAAAGCGAACTGGAGACTGAGAGATGTTTCCTGATGTGGGGCCTTCTCCACATCAACAGAGGATCTTCCATCCATAATCCCATGGTACTTGCTTGTATTCTTCATCTTTTTTTTTTTTTTTTCACGCCATTATTGGAGTCTTTCCTCTCAGCCCACGTAGTTTCTTCTCCACACTAACCCATCGTGGTGTCTTCCTCCTTCCTCCCTTCCCGTGTTTTGTTTTTTTTTTTTTTTAAAAGAGAGTTTCTCTGTGTAGCCCTGGCTGTCTTGGGACTTACGCTGTAGACCAGGATGGCCTCAAACTTAGATGCAGCTGCCTCTGTCTCTGAGTGCTGGCTCTAATGATGTGTGCTACCACCTGGCTTGTTTATTTATTTTTATAAGACTGGCCTGGAACTGGCCTGATGGGCCTTGGGATTCCCCTGTCTCTGCCTTCCTCACTCTGGGATTAGAAGTGAAACTAAAGCCCAGTGTTTGTTCTTCTGATGTAGGTTCTGTATAACCTCGTTCTTGCAAGTCAAGCACTTCGTCATCAGAGCTGTTCTCTTAGACCCTCCTCTGTAAGTTCACTTCATTTATTTATTATTGTGGATGTGCATTTATGCACATATTATGGAGGCCAGAAGAGGATGCTGTGTTCTCTGTCATTCTGCCCTAGTCTCTTGATACAGGGGTCTTTCACTGAATCTGGAGCTAGATTAGCAGCCAGGGAGTCTCCATGACCCTTCTGACTTTGTCCTTCAGGGTACTGGGTTATAGGTATATGTGTAGCTTCACCCAGCTTTTTATGTGAGTTCAGAGGATTTGAACTCAGATTCTCATGATATTGAGCCATCTCTCCAGCTACCTTCACCTTTAAAATTTTGTTTTTTGAAGCAGGGTCTCATGTAACCTAGATTGCTTGTCAAATTTGTTACCTGAGGATATAGACCTTGAACCCTCCCCCCCTTTTATTTATGTGTATGTATGTGTGTCTGTGCCAAAGGAGGTGAGAGAGGTGTCAGCT